AATGTGTGTGAGATAAGAGACATCTTGAGCTTTTGCATTTACCTGAGATATTGCTGTTCTTACAAGACACATGGGAGGTAAGAAGAGGGTTAAAAAAAATAGGCTTTGTGATGGTTTGTTGTTTTTTTTCAAGAAGACAGTTTTGAATATGTAATTTATATTAAAAATATTCCCAGAAATACAGCTGCTGGACTTACAGCATACTGTACTTTTCAAAGTATATACTTAGTCAATACTTATTTTTTAGAAAAATGCTCTAAATTATTCACTAATTCATCACTTGCAAGGGGTAGGAGGGGAGGGGAAAGGAGGGAGAAGTCAAGCCATAAACAATTAGCAGTATTAGAGGCTTAAAATGATCTGTAAAAGGTAAACATGTCCCTAGCCTGAAATGCCTATAACCATCCCAAGTTGTTCATACAACTTCAGAGAAGAAAAGCTACACAAAATTTCTGTTCCAAGATGACAGTTACTCTCAGATTAAGGGTCTGCCTAATACTCCTTTTCTCACAAAAAGGAGCTGGAACAACTATTCCAGCCCAAAGAAGACATTCCAAATAGGATGCAGTGAATCCCAAGATCTGCTTCAGAAATAAGATCTGAGGTCAAGAAAGATTCTGCCCTCCTTGCCCCATCTGAGCACCTGTATAAAGTCACTTATTCCCAATCTGAGCAGAGAGGAAAGAGGAGGATGAATTTCACATCCAAGAGGTCTCTACTAAGTGGCATCTTAAAATGGTTGATCTTTTTCCTATTTGTGACAAATAATTCTTATTAAAAAAATAGTTCTTATATAAAACTCTGCCAAATTAAAATCCTGACTGAAATCTGCAGCCTGTTGAGCAAACACACAGAGAAGTTCACCACAAACACCCAGGGAAGGTTCTGCAGTTCAGGGGTACTCCAGGGGAGGGATATACAATCTGGCTGGGACACAGACAGACAGACCTGGCAGTTGCTGAGTGCTGTTACCAGCACCACTGAAAATCTGAATTTACAGAACTATGCCCAAGAAGAAAACCTGACCCAGCAGCCTAACCACCCAATTAGAAGAACACAAATACAATTAAGCTCTTAATAGGTTTTAAATTGTTATTTCACCCAAACAACACTGGCAACCAACATGCTGCTGCAAGGTGAAGATCTGAACTTGCACAAAGTTATGTACCTACAAGTCCTTCTGCAGCAAAGGTTGGGCATTTTCTAGCTTATTGCAGAGCAACTGGTTATAGTCTATACCTGCTGGATGGCACAGAGCTCTGTACTGGTTAAAGCTACTCTCCCATCTCAGTGGCTAGAGGTAAATGTAGTCACAACAATGACTGAGCATCTGCTAAGAGAACAGGGAAAAGATGAAGCAAAATGAATCAGTGGAAGAAAATGAAATTTGAAAAACCTGCCTCTTCACATGTGATTTCAGTTATCCTATGAAAAACAAACAAAATCAAGTCAGCATAAACAAGTTTTCCATCTTCTTCTAAACCTGCTTGTGGCATCAGAATTAGTGCAATGGTTTCCATATGTATTATGGTTTTTATGAACCCAGTGTGCAAACTAACAGAAGCGTTTGTCTAATAATGATCAGTTTTAATTAATGCTTCTCCTAAGAGAATGGCAAAACTCTCACATTTGCTATTGACCTCATGCATAACGAAGAGAGTTTCACCTCCCTTCATAAGTAAACTTCACGTTTCCTAAGATTTATCTTTACTGCATAGATTCTCTGACTTCTGCCTAAATTCCAAACACGAGCCACTCTCCCCTCTTAGAGCTCCTGCTTCACCAATATTCAACATGTAAATCAAATACAGTTGTTTTTTTTGTGCTTGAACGAACGTAGAATGTTGGTCTCGTGTGCGTCTCTGAACTGCAGAGGTAAAACCTGCTGTGTTGGGTGCAGGTTTAAAAAAGCCTTTCTACAAACCTCAAGCTGCAGGACTAGAATTATCCACTGTAGGTATCTCTGAGCTCTCACACCAAAGTCAATTGCATATTTTTTTGCATTTGAATACTAATGTCCCCATGATAAGGTTTGAATTTCTAACTCCAAAGCATTCTTGATATGTTAACAGAAGTATAATGGGCACTCCTTAGTAAATAAAAATAAATAATAGCATCTAGTCTATCACATTAATACTGTGAAACATACATAAAATTTACATTAACTCAAACAACAGTGAAAAAGGATTGTACTGTATTAAATCACCACAGACCCGTATTCTTTAGAGACTTTGGAAAGCAAGTGTCACAGTCCTGTATGACAAATCCTAAAGTTAGCTGTCAGTATGATTTTAAAAAATTCTTTACTTTTTTTTTTTTTTTTCCTTAAATGGCACATTTTCTTTTGCCAATCTAACTGGACCTATTAAAAGCTTAGGTACAAGTTCATTATTTTCTTAAAATTCTTCTGTAGTCTATGAAAAACATTTTCAAACGCAGCACAATAAAAAAAAACATTCAAGAACAAGCTTCAGAAAATACATTTTGCCCTTAGACACACAGAGAATAATCTTTATAAGACAGTTGAAAACCAGAATTTTGTCATTCTTTTGAAAATAAACATTTTTGTAAATGCATCTAGAATCATCAAGGCTTCATAAATAGTCCAAAAAATGTTTTCTTTTGTATTAAAAGCTAATTAACAGCATTTTAGCCCATCAACCTTTAGTATGAATTAGATCTTTCCAAATTATTACAAGCAATTGGATTCATTAACAAACTGAATGAGGATTTTTGTGGGTTGGGTTTTTTTGTTGTTGTTGTTTGTTTTGTTGTTTTTTTTCCCTAAGCCCTGAGATCACAGCTCTTGATTTAATTATAAAATAGGGGTCTATTTTATACCAAGCAGCTTAGAGATTTTTTTGGCAAACCACATTTCCAACAATAGTGGGGTTTGGTACAAGAATGCAAGTTCATAATCAAGTCTGAAATTCTGGACGGAAGGCCTTGATGCAACTGGGAAAGAAAAAATCATGTAAAGATGCATCACTCATTGTTGGCTGCCACTGGAGCTTGGGCAACAGTTGGTCTAAGTGCAGCTGGTCTCCTGTGAATCCAACTCTGTGTTGAACTGAGTTGCTAAACATTAAAACATGTCAAGCAAAGTACATAGTGCGCAAGGTGTCCTGATGAACTTGAACTGCTTTAGCAAGTGCTTGGTGATCTCTGCCATTACTCTGACCAGAAGTGTGGCTTCCTTCAGCACTGGGGGAAAAAAAAAACCAAACAGGTTTGGAGGGGGGAAGAGAAACCCTGTTTAATCTGCCTCTCTTTGCGTTCTGTGCATATCATTCAGTTCTTCTGAACAGAACAGTCAAAAGCTAATCACCCTTAAAACACCAGTGAAGTTCTGAAACAGGAAAAGGCACACAAGGACACTGGAAATTGTTTTGCTTTTTTCCATATTAAAATTTAGTGGTAAGACCAAATAGGCTGCACCTCGAGCACTGGGTGCAGTTTTGGGCACTGCAGGATAGGAGGGACATTGAGGTGCTGGTGCAGAGGAGGGCAACTGGGCTGGATAGGGGTCTGGAGAGCACATCAGATGAGGAGAGGCTGAGAGAGCTGGGGTTGTTCAGCCTGGAGAAGAGGAGGCTGAGGGGAGACCTCATTGCTCTCTATAATCACCTGAGAGGAGGTTGTGGTGAGGTGGGTATTGGGCTCTTCTCCCTGGTGACCAGTGATAGGACAAGAGGAAATGGGGTCAAGTTTCCCCAGGGGAGGTTCAAATTGAATATTAGGAAAAACTTCTTCCCAGAAACAGTGGTGAGGCCTTGGAACAGGCTGCCCAGGGAGGTGATGGAGCTACTGTCCCTGGAGGTGTTCAAAAACAAGTAGATGTAGTGTTTTGGGAGATGGTTTAGTGGTCACAGGGGTGCAGGGCTGACAGTTGGACTTGATGATCTTGAAGGTCTTTTCCAACCTTATCGTTTCTATGAAACTTACCCTCAGACTGCTAACTGGAGATACTGCTGACCCTGGAATTATCAAGCTCACTATCCTTCCAAATCCTGTCATAATTCAAAACCATGCAACTCACCTATCATGTTCTTTATCCACCAGGTGGTACCTGGCTCTGAAGGCAACCAGGTGGGCGTAATACGCTGGTGCGGGGATGGAGACGGAGCGGGTGCAGCGCACGTAGGTGTGGCACAGCTGGTAGGTGAGAATCTGCAGCTCATCTGAGGAGAAACGATTGTCATCCCAGAGGACGTGGTAATGAGAAGGTCGGCTTGTTCCCTGAGGGCAGATCACACAGGACATCAGCATTTCCAAAAACATCTCTTTGAATTTCCACCTCTGCAAGTGAACCGCAACGTAACCGGTCGCTTCCTCAGAAACCATGGGAGCAATTCTACGCATGGCAGGAAATTTTTCCTTTAAAAAAGGCAAACAACCTCCTTCCTTGCTCCCCATATAGCTAATCCCTTTGCTTTTCTGGACAGGATGGCATTTGCTAGAATTTCATCCCTGTTACTGAAATGAAATGATCTTACTGAAATGCACTTCCATCTTGTGAAACTGAGATCTGACAAAAAGCCACCATATAAAGCAACTTTAGGCAAAACATTAACAGTTAACAGCTGAGTTGTGCCCCTGTTCAATACCCTTCTTCTGAGACTATTTTCATTTTCAGTGCTGCTGTTGTTTAATAGCTTCTGTTTCTGACAGGGAAGAAGGAATTACAAGATGTGAAGCTCCAATGGAACAAGCTAAATGCATTAGTGGCTTCCGAGGAACTGGATGCACATTTCAAGAGACGTTAATGCAAATCAGTTCAGCTACTTTGCTGCCATTCAAAGCAGCACAGAGAAAGCAGAGAAGCTGAGGTCACTTGGATTATTCAGCTTGGAGAAGAGGAGGCTGAGGGCTGACCTCACTGCAGTCTGTGGCTTCCTCACCAGGGGAAGAGATGGGGCAGGTCCTGGTCTCTTCCCTCCTGTGACCAATGACAGGACCCAGGGAAATGGCAGGAAGCTGAATCAGGGGAGGTTTAGGTTGGGTATCAGGACAAGGCTTTTCCCCCAGAGGGTGGTTGAGCACTGGAACAAGCTCCCCAGGGAAGTGGCCACAGCACCAAGCCTGTGTGAGTTCAAGAAGCCTTTGGATGATGCTCTCAGGCACATGGTGTGATTCTTGGGGCACCCTACACAGTGACAGGAGTTGGACTCGATAATCTTGATGGGTCTCTTCCAACTCAGCATTTTCTATGATTCTGTGAAGCACAATAAACTAAATGCACAGGGTGGGCTTCACAACTCTTTAGTTTCATTATTTCTTTTGGATTTTAACAGTGACAGAAGAACACTGGGATAGCAGAGATGAAAAGCCAAAAGATACAGATAGAAATTGTACCATTTGTGTCCCACGCAACAGGGGAAATTCCCACAGCCAGTGCTGGCTTTGAAAGTTACCATCCCACACAAAATGCTGTACCTGAATACCAGCATGACTACACAGGTAAAAGTCAAACTCAGATGGATGGGTGATTTTTGTGTCCACTGTGGTGCCAGCTGGAATGTTTCCACTTTTTCCAACCTGTGTGAACAGAAAATACAAATATAGTACGGCATACACAAAGTTGGGGTTCTTCTCTTTTCAGCTATAAAGAAAAAACAAGGGGAAAAGAAAAGGGGGGGAGATGGGGGGAATAAAATGAAGTCAAGAAAAAATGATCAAAATTTAAACTCTGTTCAACTGAAAATCTGGAGTGTCCCCACTATAGAGGACAACCCACAGTTGTAAAGAGAGGCCACCTCTTCCATCTGCTTTACTTCACAGCAGAGCTTAAAAATAGGCTCTACTTGAGAACAATGTACCAACTGTAATCTTAGTATGTTATCAGTATTAAAAGAACCTTCATGTCAGCATCAGAAGTTATTAATTATTGCCTCAAAGTCTAGTGGACTTCAAATGCTCACATAGAAAAGCCACACATAAGGAAAAAGAACATGAAAAACCCTTTATGTAAACAGAGGTTTGTCATTAGGAACTCTCTGTTTGCAGCTGTGACTCCATCCTAGACTAGACCCGTAACATTGGAATAAATTTGTATCTATGTGAAGTACATGTAAAAATACCTCTGCTAAGAAAACAGGCTGAGAGAGTTGAGGCTGTTCAGCTTGGAGAAGAGAAGGCTCCAGGGAGACCTTAGAGCATCTTCCAGTGCCTGAAGGGGCTCCAGGAAAGCTGGGGAGGGGCTTTTTACCAGGGTGTGTAGTGAAAGGACAAGGAGGGGTGGCTTTAAACTGGGATAGAGGAGATTTAGGTGAGACATTAGGAAGAAATTCTTTCTTGTGAGGGTGGTGAGACACTGGCCCAGGTTGCCCAGGGAAGCTGCGGCTGCCCCATCCCTGGCAGTGTTGAAGGGCAGGTTGGATGGGGCTTAGAGCAACCTGGTCTAGTGGGAGATGTCCCTGCCCATGCAGGGGGGTTGGAACAAAATGATCCTAAGGTCCCTTCCAACCCAAACCATTCCATGAAAAAAAAAAAACCTACAAAACTCTAGTAAACCAATTTAAGATGTTCAGTACTACAACTACTGTCTTGACACCTGACATGCTCAAACCAATCTCCACATTTCTAAGACATTACACACCAAGGTACCTCAAAAATCAGTGTTAATGGAAAAGAAAGTATTCTTCAAGTTCATCTCACCTAACAATTTCAGTGTCTACTGTGCAGGTGTCTACATCTCAGCCAGTAACTCAAAAGTAAATAGCAACCAAACTAGTGAGCTCACTAGTGCCAGAATCAAATGAAATGTGCTTTAATGTGTGCTGGGAATACGAAATAGATCCCCATTTACTACAAGAAGGGTGCCTGAAGGAACTGTTCCAGATGTAGACATCTACAGTACAAACCCTACACACTTCTCAGATCACTCTCAACCCTTAAGGACCCTGAGACAGCAAAAAAACTGAAAGGAAACCTGAAAAAAAAAAGTGAATGTAAAAAAAGGACAGACTCATGGAAAGGCCAACTCTGCTGACATTTCAGAAAAGCTTATTGCCAGTTTATTATATGGGACTGAAAATGGAGGTTTTCCTTTCCAGACAGAGATCTCACCCACTGTGTTAGGTAGGTGTTCAAAGAAGTCTCTTACTACCTCCATGAGCAGCAGGCAGTAGGGAACCTGGTGTGTGCAAGGGACCTGCCAGTCCCCATTAGAACATACCCGTTCATTTTTATCTGTACAGAAGAGCCTGGTGTGATGCCTCTTCTGCACAACTATAAATGTAATTCCAGGCTGGTAATCCTTCTCTAGCTTAATGCATGCTTCTCTGATAGCCAGCAACTCATGATGGAGAACCTGAATCACAAAGACAAAGACGTGTGATCAATATTAAATCTGACAGATTACTCTTCCTTATCTAGAGACGACTCTTATCTCTCGTGTTCTTTCTTTCACTGTGACTCAGAGTAATGGGATGTCAAAGCAAGCAGGATCAAACCTTAATTTCTTCACTTAATGAGAACAAATTAGATCACCAGTTTCCTGAGCCAGGCAAGAGCTGGTTCCATATTTGTTCAGCTCCAAGCATGAGGCTTGGATTAACAAACTGTATGTGAAAATCTTTTCAACTGCCAAATACAAATGAACATTTCATTAGGCTGTTGAATATACAAAAGCCTAATTATTTTTCAGACAAGCACAGGGGGTAAAATCCAGAATTGCTCAACTGCATGCTGTTTCCCAGCTCTGTGAACTCTCATGCAGGACCACAAGCATCAATAAAAACTGAGACAGAGGGAAATGCAACCAAACAAAAACAATTAATTAAGATTTGGGTTAATTATAAATTAAAGATTCAATGAAAAACAGCAATAAATGGCAAATAGTATTACAAGTTCACACAAAGATTAGTTTTGTTAACTCAAGTTTATGAAGTGACATTTACTCCATTCCCCGTGGATTCTGGGAAGTTGACTAAGTTCTGTGTCTTTCATTTTACACATAAAAATACTGGAAAGTGTATGTAAGAATCTTTATATAGAAAATATTTCATAACATCTAGTACTTGTAAGCAAACAAAATAAATACAAGAAAGTATCTGTTGAATTTTGGGGGGAATTAATGAAAAGTGAGAGTGTGAAACAGAGCATTTGTTGATCCTGGTTAAAAAAGCAGGAAAATTAGTTAACACTTAGGGTTTTTTTCCTGTCCTAGCTTTATGGGATACAGTACTAATATAGCCTGAGTTGGTCACAGATGTTGAACATAACTTGAGTGCTAAAAGCTAGATGATTAATCATTTTGTAAAGGGAAGTGGAAAAGAAAGCTCATGAAAAATGTGAAAACACTTCCCCTGTTCAGTTAGAATTTGGCGAGGAAGGATTTGTTTGGGGTGAACTTCTTCTCATCACTCCAACTACATCAAACTACATCCCTACCAGAAAACGACACCATCACAATCCCAAAAAGCAGAATCTAACCTGTTGAAACTGCCCCTCAGAAACACCATCTCTGTAGAAGATGATACGAGTTGGCTTAAATCTGGTTGATTTGTAGAACTGAATCAGCAACTCCCTGACCATGGCAGCCAAATCTTGGATGATCTCCTGGCGGTGCTGCTGGACCCGAACGGTAGCACAGTATCGATTAGGATGAGCATCCATGCTTCCCACAACCTGGTGAGAAAAGGCTGAGCATCAAAACCAAATGTAAAAGCACTGGATTCAAAGTATTTCATGAAGACAGTATTTTGAACAGTAGCCTGTAAACTAAGGGTTAACCTAGTAAAGATGTAGTCAAAATCGTGATGTGGGTGGAGAGAGCTGGGAGGTGATGCTACCTGTGGCCACACCCTACTGAAATGGAAGGCTTATTTTAAATCTAAAGGCTGATTTCCTGTTTGCACCTACAGACAGTTAAAAAAAAAACCAAAAAACTAAAATGGAGCAGTGATGCCATTAAGTTAGGACTGCAGCACAGGAATTTGCACTCCTGAAGACCAAGTGCTTCTCTGGGACACGGTGGATTAATCCATAGAACTGAAATGGTGAGGCATGACATGCATGTTGTCTACCTGGACAATGTTTCCCACAGCACTCTGATGAAAAACCTGGCTGCTCATGGCTTGGATGGGCACTCTCTCTGCTGGGTAAAACACTGCCTGGGTGGCCCAGAGAGTGGTGGGGAATGGATTTAAACCCAGCTTGTGGCCAGTCACAAGTGGGGTTGCTCAGGGCTCAGCGCTGGGACCACTTCTTTTTAACATCTTTATTAAAATTGCTGATGAGGAGATAGAATGTACCCTCACTGAGTTTGCAGACAACAAGTTGGGAGAGAGTGTTGATCTGCCTGAGGGTAGGAAGGCTCTACAAAGAGATTTGGACAGACTGGATGGATGGGCCAAGGCCAACTGTATGAAGTTCAACAAGGCCAAGTGCTGGGTCCTGCATGTGGCTCACAACAACCCCATGTAATGCTACAGGCTGGGGGAAGAGTGGCCGGAAAGCTGCCCAGCAAAACAGGACCTGGGGGTTCTGATTGAAATCTGGCTGAACATGAGCCAGCAGTGTGCCCAGCTAGTCAAGAAGGCAAATGGCATCCTGGCCTGTGTTAGAAATAATGTGACCAGCACTGGCAAGACCACACCTCAAATACTGTGTCCAGTTTTGGGCACCTAAGTACAAGAAGGACACTGAGGGGCTGGAGAAGGTCCAGAGAAGGGCAACCAAGCTGGGGAAGGGCCTTGAGAACAAGTCTTATAAGGAGTGGCTGAGGGAGCTGGGGCTGTTTAGTCTGAAGGAAAGGAGGCTGAGGGGAGACCTCATGGCCCTCTACAACTACCTGGAAGGAGGTTGTAAAGAGGCAGGGGCTGGTCTCGTCTCACAAGTAACTGGTGATAGAACAAGAGGAAATGGCCTCAAGCTGCACCAGAGGAGGTTTAGACTGGACATTAGGAAGAACTTTTTCACTGAAAGGGTTATCAGACATTGGAACATTCTGCCCAGGAAGATGACTGAGTCACCATCCTTGGATGTGTTCAAAAGTCATCTAGATGTGGCACTTTGGGGACATGGCTTAGTGTTGGACTTGGCAGAGCAGGGTTAATGGTTGAATTTGATGATCTGGAAGGTCTCTTCCAACCTAAGTGATTCTGTGATTCTATGAAAAATCCACACCAAACAGACACTGCCTACCATGGGAAGGGGTTTCTTTGTTTATGAAACATCAACATTCATAGCTTGTAGAAGTGACATGGGACTTAAAAATAAACAGACAAAAAAAAAAATAATTATCCAAATTCCATATGTGTAAAAATCCCAACTGAGCAGAGCTCCTCCTGGTTTTCCCTGGAAACATGTTTATAACTTTTTAAAACAGGTATTTATTTGTTTATTTAGCACCAAAGCTCTTCATGATTAAATAAGCTAGCACAGCCATTCCAGGTGTCTGACATAAAGCCAGTCAGAGGCTTTTCCCTGTATTGAAGGAGCCCATTTCCAAGAAATTACTGCACATCTTGTGCTGCCAGGAAGCTTGAGTCCCCAAAAACCACAACTAAGCAAGTCAAATCCCTATCAGTAGCTGATAAATTCTTAACATTTTTAACTGCTGAAAAAGCAGATTTAAACATGCACCAGCTTATTACCAGTTGCTGATAAATATCAGCTCATAGAAAAGCTCCTCTGTGTATTAGCAGCTCTGGCATTTTACAAACTAATACACACATTTAAGTAATTAGGATCAGAGCAAGCTCTCCAAGGTTTCATTAGATTCCTGCAGAAAAATAATTTACAATTAGGCAATCAGAAGAAATGGACCACAAAAGAACTGAAAGTCATAAAATGCATTAGAGGGAGCAGCAGGAGAGAGCAGGGGTTATAAAGATCATCACACAGTTTACTCACTGCAGCAATGGAAGGCTTTTTTCCATCTCCAGCTGGTGGATGGGTTACATCTGCACCAAGGAATATCACAGGCTGCTGAAACACTGGGGGTCTGACAAAGAGGAAACAAGTTTGTAAAAGCAGCAAGGCTTACACTTGGTAAAGCACATTGTAACTTCAGTAAATAACACTCTATGTTCTTGCAGGAATTAGTCAACAATTTGCACTCCATCAGAGTTGGTCACTCATACTGTGACAGTGATTAGCAGTCCTGATTAGGGTTCTCATATTAAAATACTTAAGCATATTTTGAAAGCATTGCTAATTGCTACTGTTCATTAAAAAATGAGAGTGTGTTGCTTTGCTGTGTTTTAAATTAACTTGGAGAATTGCAGCCTTTATTAATCAGGCCATAGAAAAGAATAAAAGTTCATTCCTTAGCATCAAAAAGCATCTGAGAAAATGAAAAGACTGTACACATATACAGATTTATATAACAAAAAACCAGCACTGGTAGAGAAGTACAAAAATTGTAGATATCATAGGTATTACTTCAGAAGATTTCTTTTTAAACTACACTTTGAAGATTTAAACCAACCTTGAAGTTAAGATATTAATCCACTGCATCCAGATTAGAACACCCAAACACTACATTGGAAGCTCTATGCTTCAACTCTATTCTTTAATAAAATGCTATTAAACAGGGAATCTTGGGCCAACAGAATATTTTCTTGTGTATCTGGGGGCACAGGGGAACAGCCAGATAGGGAGATTCAGCTGTTTTCAGACCTTTTCTGCAAAGGACTTTGACAGTGTGACATACAATGTAATTATACAAATAAATCCAACTGCTCAATCAACAGAAAAGAATAATTTAAGTGTTTTCTATTAAATACTCCAAACCCTGCACTTTTCCACAATGCCTAGGTGTTGGGTGTACCTGTGCTATTCCTGGTTTCCCCTTTACATAACCCTATTTTCATGAATACACAGTTTATTGGAATTATCAGCAGAATTCAACTTCCTGGACAAATTATTGTTGTCAACACGTGCCACTCAGCAGGGACCTTATGCTTATGAATCCAGCATAAAATTACTTATATGTTGAGTCCTTCTATGTTTTTTCTACAACAGTATCTTCAACTCCTTTTCCAGGTAAACTGGACCTGGCAATCAATTAAGAGTTTTCTGCTCCCAAGTTTTGGTTTTTTTACATGTCTATGTAAGACATTCAACCAAATGAGGAATCCTGACCACAATGAACAGGATTCAAGGAAAAGGCACTGCTATTCAAGATGGTCTGTATTTGTTGCTGAAAACTCAAGGCAAATAAAATAAAAACTTTCAATTCAACTGGAAGTTGTACACTTCAGTGGTCATATGGGCTGGAGCAGCTCTGCTCTGGAGACAGGCTGAGAGGGTTAAAGTTGTTCAGCCTGGAGAAGAGAAGGCTCCAGGGAGACCTTAGAGCACCTTCCAGTGCCTGAAGGGGCTACAGGAAAGCTGGGGAGAGGCTTTTGACAATGGCTTGAAGGGACAGGACAAGGGGTAATGGATTAAAACTCCAAGAAGGGAGATTTAGGTGAGACATCAGAAGAAATGCTTCACCATGAGGGTAGGAAGGCACTGGAATAGGTTGCCCAGGGAGGCTGTGGAAGCCCCATCCCTGGGGGTGTTCAAGGGCAGGTTGGACAAGGCTTGTGCAGCCTGGTGTGGTGGGAGGTGTCCCTGCTCATAGCAGGGGGGTTGGAACCTGATGGTCTTTAAGGTCCCTTCCAACCCTCACCATTCTGTGATATGATCATAAATTTCAACTGGAACAAGTATTCCTCTCCAGTCTTCATAACCTAACTTCTCCAGGACTATTTATTAGAAAACAAAAGATAGTTCACCTGAAGACTCACTTGAACTTCAGTGCTACGACTACAGATAAAAACACCCAAGTTATCTCAGAGTGATGAATGCTCTCTTTACAATACCCTCTCCCTCTCTGAAAGATGACTTACCTTCCCTGTGGCAGCAAAATGTTATTTACGCCTCCTAATTTGACATTTATTTTCAAGCAAAGGTTAGACAGAGTCTGGGGTGTTGTTCTTTGGACATTTTTCATCTGCACACACTGTGTGGCCATGCCCAGCACGGTGTCACCAACACGTTTCACCTCAGCTGCAAAGCAAGAGGGGAAAAATGTGAAATGTGCATGCTGCAAATTAAACAACATAGGAGACAATAATTCAGTCACAATTAACTACTCCTAGAGACTTAGCAAAGTGGTTGTTTAATCTTAAAGAAACAAGAGGAAACTTAACCCATAGACCCATGCCCAGTCTCCAGTAGCCCTCCTCCAAGTTCTGTACTGCTCCACCTGTGCAGATCCTAAACATTAAACCTTATATTATGGCTTATATTAACAAATACATTTTTAAAGTTATTCTAATTTTAAAATTATACAGTGTTTTATCATCAGTGAAGAATCTTTGGCTAAAGAAATAGGTAATGTGAATAGTCTTAGGATGATGAGGACTTGTTTAATCCTTAAACACTGGATTAATAGTGCAAACTTCATAGTTTGCACTAACCTACCTGACTAAAACCAGTCAGTTTAGCCAAGGATGGACCCATAAAATCTCCAAAACAAACTCAATGAGAACTGGACTATTCAAAAGGTTAAACCAAATCCTATTGTTAACAACAAAATTGAGATTTACAGGCTCTAAGAGAGACATTCTCTTACAGGAAAAGAGAAAATTTGGTCTCCAAGACAGGCTCAGAGGAGATACAATCCCCCTTTGGCAAGAGGAGAAGGAAGAGGCTTTTTGAGGAGCAAGGTGAGAGAAGGAGAGAAGGGTGTAGGCAGTGCAAGAGTATGGAAGAGTGCAGGGAGAAATACAGATGACTAGAGGGGGCAGAAAGAACTACAATTAAAGATAATGACACAGAAAGCAGATGAAAGTGGTACCACATCCTCCCTGTGGTTAAGCAGAGGAAAGAGTCCCTGTTTAATGCCAAGCAGAAGAGGGACAGTGTCATTTTGCACTGCATTTATTTGGAGCAAATAAAGAGACAAGCAACCTTCTTTGCAAGGGTGAATTCAAGGGGAAAAAAAGGTACTATTCCACTAAGGTTGTTTTTTTAATCTTTCTTGTTAGCTTCTATGAGATAATCTCAGGAAAATAAAGTTAGGAAGCTTTTTTTCTTCTTTATTAAGTTGGTGAGGGATGGGATAAAATGAATCTGCAGCTGCTTGGCAGATCTGAGCCATTAGAGAAGAGAGTCCATGAAGCTAGGGGAGAAAAATAGTGGATGTTGATTGCAATTAAGCAAGTGAAAACAGGAGGAAAGATAGGAGAAAGAGCACTCTTGCCTGCAGGAAGGACTAGTTAAAACCAAAATGCATGGTTTATCTAAAACACAGTAAAATCAATGTGCTATGTAAAATGCACTCGTTTTCAATCTGCTTCCAAAAAAACAGCTGAAGTTGGTGAGTTTTCACCTTCCATGCACCTGTGTCCTTGCAACTCAAGAGTTAAAAAAATGAAAGAACAGGGAACAAAAATCAATAGGCAGAAATCTCTTTCACTCAGCTTTTTTTTTTGCCAAAGGATGATGACAGGTCCTGAGCTCATGACTTCTCCAATCACTTGGAATTTTTAGCACACAAGTGCATTTTAACCCACTGCCTATCAGTTTCCAAAAAGCTCTGGTTTAGCTTTCTCACTCACAAACTGCATCTCAAATGTAACCAACAGGAAGAATGTGGAAAAGAAAATTGAAAGCACAGACAAAAATAATGAAAAGAATTAAGGTCTTAATATAAAACATCATGCAGCACAAGAAGAATAAAACTGATTTACAGCCCATTCCCTAAATGGAACACACACAGTTCATCTAGAATTAAAACTTCTCTCACTCTAATATTTCACCAAAAAAAATATATTAAATTGTGATTGATTTGCACGTACTGACCATAGACTGGTGTTTTTCCTGGCAAAATGACTACAACAAGCTGCAGCCCAGTGTAAGTGTTCTTGAGATGTCTGAACATGGGCTCCACACTGTCAGCTCCCTGCGCGTATTTACAGAAGCACGGCTGCCCCTGGATTTGGATTCCTGCATCCCTGGAAATCTTTCTCAGTTGTTCTGTAAAGGACCTAAAGGATGTAAATAAATATATTAGAGTCTCAGGAAGAAACATCCACCTTGATTTTTGTTCTTATTTTTAACGGAACAACCCTGTTAAACTTGCAGAGAGTCGTGCTGTCGAAAAACCTGGGAATTCACTCCAAGTGCGTCTTTAATTAACTGTGCCCATGTAGTCCCTGAGGGAATGACAGGGGAAGATGAGGAAATGCACTGCATAAGTAACACCATTACTAAAAAATGGATTTCCAAAGCAAATTCCACCTTCTTGGATCTTTCTACAGGAGAGAGTCCGAGCTGCTTTTTTGCAGAAACAGTGCAGGGATGGTATTTTGGGTGGCCAGCTCCACATGCCTCCATGTAGCACCACAACCACAGAAATCTTCTTTGTCATGGAGAGGGAAACAACCCAGAGAAGTTCCCAGCAAAAATGTCTCAGCAAATGGACCTAACATCAACAAAAATGCACAAGAAAACCTTGCTAGATATCAGAGCAAGAGTCTATCTTGGACCTGAAGACAAACCTTCTCTGAGGGTGGTGCAAATATAAATCACCCTGTCATGGAACTGGTCAGAAACAGGGATAACCTAATTTTGTCAGAGGTTTTTATCAGTGAAAGCTGCTTCAGGTCCCCTGCTAGCAGGGTATGCTGTGTTGCAGCCTGCCTCCTTCTCCTGGCTCTTGGGGACAGGGTAGCATTTGGTTATCTATCCTTCTGAAGGGACACCAAGAACACATTGTGCCTGTTTGTAAGTAAGAAAATTGAGAGATCTTCAGTTTAAGAGTCTAGGGGTCTATAAAGTATACCCAGTCTGGAAAGCACCTTTCAAAGTCATGGCTCCTCCAGGTTTGTTCTATGCATCCATGGGGCAGCAATGTGCCCTTGTGACCAAGAAGACCAGTGCCATCCTGGGGTGCACTAATAAGAATGGGGCCAGCAGGTCAAGGGAGGTTCTCCTGACCCTCTACTCTGCCCTGGTGAGGCCTCACCTGGAGCACTGTGTGCAGCTCTGGGCTCCCCAGTTCAAGGAGGACAAGGAACTACTGGAGAGAGTCCAGCACAGGCCACTAGGATGATGAAGGGACTGGAGCATTGTCCATAGGAGGAAAGGCTGAGAGAGCTGGGACTGTTCAGGCTGGAGAAAAGGAGGCTGAAGTGGGATCTCATCAATGCTTATAAATATCTAAAGGGGGTGTCAGGAGGATGGGGGCAGACCCTTCTCAGTGGTGTCCAGTGACAGGGCAAGGGGCAGTGGTCACAAACTGGTTCACAGGAGATTCAACGTAAATAGAAGAAAATAATTCTTTACTCTTACAGAGCACTGGAACAGGCTGCCGAGGGAGTCTCCATCCCTGGAGACATTCAAAACCCTCCTGGATGTGTTCCTGTGGGATCTGCTCTAGGGGATTCTACTCCAGCAGGGGGTTGCTCTAGATGATCTCCAGAGGTCCCTTCCAATCCCAACCATTCTGTGATCAGTGGTGGAAGAGTAGTCCCTAAGTCCCATCCCCATAACCAAAGGGAAGATGAGCAAGCAGTGAGGTCTCAGTGCAGACCTGTGGAGCAGAGTACTTGGTGCCAAGGGACCAACATCCACACTATGTGTTTCTGGGACTTTTCTTCAGAGTGGCTGTAGTTTGGTGCAGTGGGCTGAATGTCCATTAGTGGCTGAAATACATCCTCCAGCCCAGCTTTATCCAAAAGAAAACCACAATGTACACTGTGACAGCTCCTTGATGCAGAGCATGGCAACTGGTGACTATCAGGAGCATCACTTCCAACATGCACTCCTGAGACAAACTCAAACACTAGTGCACACACCCAGGGATGTCCTCCTTTGGTACCTGGTTTAATGACCAGCCCAGTAAAAGTACTGCTGCCTGGGATCATGGAAACTGGCATCAATACTGACACAGCCCCTTTTATTATTTTGCAGTGGATGTCCCCACAGACATCTAGAAGCTGCTAATCTTCACCAAAAACTGCCAGATAATACAGTCTTACCCACTAAGAGGGTGTGAAGATTCAGTTTCTTCCAAACCCATCATTAACTTTCATGAATCATAACAGTTTGTGAGCTTCAGCCCTGCAGCTTATGGCTGCTTGCAGAAAACAGGGACATGAAGTGTTTTCCCTGGCAAAACAGGCACTGAGCACTGCAAGCAGAGAGAGTCAGTGGCAGAACATGCGAGCCTAAAATGGCACAGGTTTTCAGCCTTCAGAAGTCCATCTTTAAGCATGGTGTCTGAGAGGAAAGGCTCTCTCCCTGTTCCTGAGAGGTAAAGCAGGATCATTTTGAATATTTTTAGGGATTTTGAAGGTGTTTACTCTGACAGACATACAGCAGCCAAGTTACAACTTGCTCAACAAGAGGCAACAAGATGCACCTGGATGCAGCCATGATCCTAATATGAGGGAATGTCCTTTCACAGTAAGGACAAGCTCCACCTAAACCACCAATTTCATTTTGGCTCATTCTGTTGAAGCCTCCTGCCTATCTCTCAAACCAAACTCCTACTCAGCATTTCCACTAGAAGCAACAGTGTGGAGGGGGAAATGCTCTGGCAGCTGAGCTCCTAACATGTACCCAGAGAGAACAAGTCCTCAGCCTTACACCATGGGAGGAAAAGTAAAAGTTAACATTAACACTGTTTGCTCACTCCTTCTTAGGGAAAACTCCCAAGCTGTTTGGCAAATCATCTAAAGGAAGACTGTTATGGCAATAGTGTTGTTATGAACAATTGTTGTCTGGCATTCACCTCCCCAAGAGCAGCTGAGTCACCTGCGAGGACAGCTGCAGGAGCTCCACTTGCCCATGCATGAAGGGAAAGGAACTGCATGCAAAGGAATTGGACAACCCACCCACACAGGCAGACACACTTTCCCTGCTCAAGGAATGGTTGATGTCACTTTTAACAGCAGCCCTTCAACAAGCATGTTCCATCCAAAGATGAGAGGAAGCAAATGGCAAAGTTTCATTCCAGTTCTCTAAGTCAACAAAACAACTAGCGCTGCTCACCTCGCAAACACAGCAACTTGCTCATCATAGTAACTCCAGAGGGTAGAAAGTTTTGTAAAAAAGGTGGATTGCTTTTTAAAATTTTCCTTTTAAATAAGTTCTGCGAAAATAAACCTATTCTGTATAACCACGGAAAGCATCTAAGACCTATATGTTAGCAAATGTCACTCTTGATAAACACTTGGCATCAGAGGGACCTTTAAAGGTCATCTTCAACTAGATCAGGTCACTCAGAGCCCCATCCAACCTGACCTTGAACACTTCCAGGGAGGGGACATCTATCACCTCTCTAGGCAATCAGTTCCACTACCTCACCATTTTCATCATAAGGACTTACTTCCTTGTATCTAGTCTGAATTTACCCTCCTCTAGTTTAAAACCATCACTCCCTGTCCTATCACAACAGCCTCTGCTAAAATGTTTGTCCCCCTGTTTCTTATAGGCCCTTTTAAAGTACTGGAAGGTTGCTCTAAGGTCACCCCAGAGCCTCTTTTCTTGAGGCTGAAGAACCCAAACTCCCTCAGCCTTTCATCACAGGAAAGGCATACCATTCCTCTGATCTCCTCTGGACCTGCTCCAACAGATCCATGCCTCTCCTGTGCTGATGACTCCCAAGCTGGATGCAGTAACTCCAGGTGGGGCCTCACCAGAGCAGAATAGAGGTGCAGAACCACATCCCTCGACCTGCTGGCCACACTGCCTTGGATGCAGCCCAGAATACAGGTGGTCTTCTGAGCTACAAGTGCACTGGTTCATGCCCAGCTTTTCATCCACCAGTATCCCCAAATCCTTCTCTGCAGGGCTGGTCTCAGTCCTTTCATCCCCCAGCCTGTACTCATTCTGGGGTTTGCTCCAACCCTGGTACACAACTTTGCACTTGGCCTTGTTGAACCTCATGAGATTCACACGGGCCCAACTTCTGGATCTTGTCCAGGTCCCTCTGGATGGCATCCTGTCCCTCAGGCATGTTAACTGCACCACTCAACTTGGTGATATCTGAATCTTGATGAGGGTGTCCTCGATCCCACTGTCTACATCACTGATTAAGATATTAAAACAGTACTGGTCACAATACAGATGCCTGAGGGACACCACTTGTCTCTGATCTCCATCTGGACATTGAGCCATTACCCACTACCCTCTGGATCCCATCAGTTCCTCATCCACTGAACAATCCACTCATCAAATCCGTATCTCTCCAGTTAGAGAGAAGGATATTGTGGGTGGGAGACGATGTCAAAGGCCTTGCAGAAGTCCAGGTAGATTATTCACTAGCTATGAGCACCTGGCATTACATCATTTCAGTAATCTTAAATTCAGCCCCAAGGCCTCAGTGGTCAGAAACCTGCCATATAGTATCAATTGCTTTGGGCAAGTCTGATTTGGAGGACTGGATGATGCTGGCACTGAAATCATATTGGAAGACAAAAAGAGAACTTGAAAAGCACTGTTAAATATGTATTACCAGGCATTAAACAATCAACCCAAATGCGTATTTTCTGTAACTGAAATGATATTTCCATCCATAATAGCCAATAAAAATCACTAATTCATGAAACAGACTTACTTCAGATGAACCTCAGTGCACTGGCGCTGGGGAGCGAAGCACGCGATTGCCCAAACCTTTATTTCAATTCCAGTGTGAAACTGTTTATTCCTCATATCCCAGACTCCTTGAACTGGTGTTGCAATTGCTTTATTCTGGATGTAGAAGGAAAAAAAAAAACACAAACCCTAAAACACTAATGAAAAAATTGATTCATGGTAAGAAAAACCAGTTATGCTTCTACTCCCCTCCAACTAACAGGCTACTTATATTCCTGCCTTAACAAGATCATTCTGTCACTGCAGCAAGGCAGCTTGCTAGCCAGGTTAAAAACAAAGCTGATAAAAATCAAGCTCATATTGTTCATTTTTAACATTGATGTTGTTTCCTTTAGTTACATAAAGCAGCAGCAGATAGAAATGATATTTGGAAGGCAGATCCATGCTCAGTATGTAACCTTAACAAGAACGAACATTCACAGCAACTTTACAACTGCTCAGTGTACTTTCCAAGAGTTACCTAATTTAACCATTATCAATATTTTACTCATTTAAGTATAGTCAATATTTTCCACATCACTAAGTAGAGGCAAAGTGGCTTGATGTCACTCACACAACTCCAGAAAAAATGTGAACAAGTCGACAAAAGATGTTCAGTTATCCAACCTGTGCAACACTTTTTCTGCCATTACTGTGATGGATTATCTAGAGGATAAGGGATATAATAAGACAACTAAAGCAATTCTGGTGATGTTAATTACTTATTAGTATCCAGTAGATATTTTAGACAAGCCACCATGATGTCTGCTCATTGATCAGCAACAGCTAAAATGTATGGGAATCTTTCACAACATGCCATTCATTTTGCCCAGCTGTGTCTGCTGAAGGCAGCACCTCCCACACTCTGACTTGCCATCACTCATCTGTCATTAAGCTCTTGTTCTCCCTTTTTCCCTGGTGCCAGAATGGTTCATTAGAGCACTCTCTATGTTCAGGAGGAGGCACAGACACCTGAGTTATCCTTAACCTGCCAGTGAAGGGCGGCTTGGGCATAGTCTTCCCAATTCTGTCTGAAGCACTTTAGGTGGAAGACAAAAGATACCTCTCCCTTTGTGGGATTCAGAAGGTAACAGCCTGATTTGTGCATGGGGACAAAACCATCTTCAGGTGGCAAAGCATGACCTAGAAGCTGTTAATCAGAAGCCTCCACAAATAAGGTTATCCCAGCTATCAAAGCTGCATAAAATCTTGCATGAAAACAAAACAAGTTGTATAAATGACAGAAAACCCTGCTTCTCGAGCCTTTTTTGAAAGACACCATGGTAGGAAGATGATGTCAAAATGGCCACCTGAAAAGCCACTGTAAATAAAAAAACTGTGAGTAAATACTCCAACAGGCAGAGGTGGCTCCACAGAAAAACATGTGGAGAGAGATAAAACCTTAAAATAGTTGTCCCAAACACAGCTGCTCCACCCAGAACACTCAAAACCAACCAGAAGCTCAGGCAGATTTGAGTTAAGGGAGACAAAAATGAACAGTAATAATTGAACTAGTGTCTGGCCCTCTCCATTCACACTGATCTGAACCACTATTTGCAGGATTCCTCTCACAACACACAATAAAACAGCATGTAAGTAAAAATACACACATTTTTCTCTTAAGTTTTACATAAACACTCTTAACGTAAACATTCTTTACAACTCTTTACATAAACATTCTTAACCCAGCTTTACTTTCAGAAATAAAGCAACAATTGCAATGCGAAGTGGCCATTGTGGTTAAGGACTTTCAAAACTTACAGTTTTAAACTTCATAGCTCTGACGACGTTATCCCATCGCATCCGACATCATTAATTTAAAGCAAGCCTATTACAGAAGTTATCACAGCTGGTAATCAAAGCCATCCCAGACTGCACAGTATCTGTTCAACATACCCTGCCCCCATAGAGGATGGAAGGAGGCTGCAGGACTCTCCCAGTCACATCTGTCATTTCATCCTTGACCATTATTCCAAATTCACGGACGTAAGGGTCGGTATTAAAACTCGCGCTCCGCATCTGAAACGGAAAGGAATTAGGTAGTTCTTGCAGTAAAAGAAGTTCTTTTTATGAGATCTAAAACTTCCTGAGTAACCTGTATTTGGGGCACGTATCCCTTCCTATACAGGTGGTAACAAACGTTCAAAGCCTCTGTTAATTCCACTTGGATACACTGATAGCTCCAAATTTGAAACAAAGCACCAGAAAAACCTGCTTGAAAACCTTTTGTGAGAACGTGTTTCTGATTAATAGAGAAAGGCTTATAAAAACAAAATAACCTCTGTGTGCTGTACATGTTATTCAGTATCTGCTAATATTAAGAGCAGAATGAAGTCCATTGCTGCACTTCACTCAGCTTTGACAGAACACTCACCAACTTGCTAATCTCCTCCTGACGATCCGGTGCTGATCTGGCAGTTGCTCGAATCATAGTGGAAGTTTGATTGTCAGTGAGTTTCTTTATACATCTCTGTCCTGCCACTATGTTGCACACCTAAAATAAACCCGCAAAAACCAACATTCACAAACACAATGCAATTGGTTTTTGGCTCTGTTTTCTTTTTTCATTGCTGCACTACTAAAGTTAGCTACTGAAAAACCAGCATCAACGTTTCCAGCACTTAAAGGGTGACCACCAAGAAGATGGAGACTCCCTGTTTACAAGGAGTCACGTGGAAAAAACAAGGGGTGATGGGCACAAGCTGCTCCTGGGGAGATTCCAATTGGACACGAGGTAAATTTTTCTCCATGAGGACAGTCAAACATTGGAATAGTCTCCCAAGGGAAGTGGTGGATTCTCCCACGTGGGACAGTTTGAAGTCTCAGCTTGACAGGGTGCTGAGCCACCTCATATAAACTATAGTAGTACCTAGAAAGGTTGGACCAGATGATCCTTGAGGTCTCTTCCAACCTGGCATTCTATGATTCTGTGAACATTTGAGCCCTTCTTCCCCTTTCCTCCTTCCCCCATTCCCAGAAAACAGTATTATCTAAAAATGTACTTGCCTCAAGAGGAAGGTAAGTGTGTTTCTGCTCCTGTCCAACTTGTAAACATGGAAGGTGAGGATAACGTAAAACTAATTTGTGCCTGTCCTTAAAGTACTGAGCTACAGTGCATTCAACTGTTTGTCCATTTTGTGGGAATCTATTGGAAAGCAAATATGAACATAAGACATTACTTGATGCAGAATACTTCCCCACACTTGGTCAATACACTGCTTGGCACATTAAGCTGACTGAAGATTAAACCTATCTTGCTGAAGTGATGCAACTGTACTTCTGTAATTAAGATTCCATCTCTGTCACTACCATGTGTCTTCTAATAATACCACAGAAGGCTATTTCTCTAACATTTTTGATACCTGAAGCTATAAATTAAGTTTTGTAAGAGCAGGTGCAGTAGAGACAAAGACTAAGGTTCTGGGGAGACCTTAGAGCAACTTCCAGTGCCTGAAGGGCTCCAGGAAAGCTGGGGAGGGACTTTTCACCAGAGACGGCAGTGACAGGACAAGGGGGAATGGTTTTAAACTGAAAGAGGGGAGATTTAAGTTAGACATCAGGAAGAAATTCTTCACCATGAGGGTAGGAAGGCACTGGAACAGGTTGCCCAGGGAGGCTGTGGAAGCCCCATCCCTGGAGGTGTTCAAGGGCAGGTTGGATGAGGCTTGTGCAGCCTGGTCTGGTGGGAGGTGTCCCTGCTCATAGCAGGGAGGTTGGAACCTGATAGTCTTTAAGGTCTCTTCCAACCATTCTATGGCTCTAATGTTTTACATGTGTTTGGGATATTTGCAGTACTAAAATTTGTGATATGTAGCAAATGTGCAGAAAACAGTGAGCCTACTCTGAGTCACAAAACCAATTATTGCTTCAGAAACTAACTTCTCTCCTTCTGTACAAATATATTTCCATTTATGCAAACCTATTTGCATATACTTACACAAATATTGTCTTTTCATTCACACATCACAAAAAGAATGTAAAACAAATCCCAAACCATTAAATATCAGAGTTGGATATTGATCAGTTATATTTGTGTAAAAAGCTGGTATCAGTTTTGTTCTTTATACTACTTTCTTAAAAATGGGCATAAATGCCTCCATATTGAAGTGATCTGGTTAGTGATTAAAAATAAACAATTTTTCCAGAGGAAAAACAGATTGACAACAACCAAGATCAGAAAGCTGATCCCAGTTGGAACTGCTTTTTTCCACAATAGCTCTGGAAAATGTGACACTACCAAGGGGGTGCCCTGTTCTTTGCATGGTGAAGAAATCCATAAACGAGAAAAAAACCCACAACCAACCAATCAACAGACAAACAAAAAAACCCACAAAAAACACACACACAAAAACCACACCCCATCCCCCCCCCAGGATTTAAAATAAAGCAATTGATTCAAATGCCGTGACGTTCCCTATAGAATAAAAATAGAACAAAAAGGACAGTAAAATTGGGAAAACACTTTCAGATGTATTTTAACTACATTGACCAAAGAAAGCATCACTATTCAAGACAACTTTTCCAAGGTCACTAAGGCAGGTAAGTACTTTTCCAGCCTGAGATTAAACATGAGATTAAGCAAAATACTTTACGTTTGGTGACTTGCTGGTCGTCTGGTGACATTACACACTCTGTACTTTCTTTTCATTTGTCCACAGTGTGTTATCTCCACCTTTAGACCTAAAAAGTAGAAAACACATTATCACTGTTTCTTCAAAACCAAGGTGTCAGCCCCCTCAATTGCTCCCCAAGACCACCTGACCTGTGCAATAAAGCTGTCCACAATTTAGCATGTTCTCAGAGGACTAAAGAGTATCCCAGACAGAATTCCAAAAAGCAATATATAGTCTTAAAATTCAAAAAAACAAAGTAAACCAAAAAATATTAGAGACACAGTCCCACGAGCTTACAGACCAAGCTGAAGGCATTCTGTGAATTCCAATTCTGCACGTCTAAGGAAGCCCAGGATGGTGGAAGGACAAAAAGGACAAAAGGACATGCAACCTCCTTGAAACAAAAAGCCTGTTTATACTTTACGTCTAAACATACGGTGCCTGCGAGATCTCCAACTCTTGCAACCAACCCTGAAGTCATGAATCAGGGGGTGGAGGGGGTGGGGAAATATCCATACAGCCCCTAGGAGCTCATGAGAATGAAGCCATGGGGTTTTATTCTTTGGGAAGAAAAACATCTTCTTCAAAGAAGCCCTCTGGCACAAAAGATAAGCCCACCTGAAAGCCAGCAACTTCTGGAAGAGTAAATTATCCACCCCAAACTAGGACAACACAGATACCCATAAAGAAAAAAGGACAAGCAGACTGACACATAAAATTGATCAGCAGGCTTCTGAAAGTCTTGACATATATTTAATTAATAAAATTATTCTCATTTCTTCATTTTGCTCTCAGGAAGTGTATATGCACTGCTCATTGTGACAATCTAAAGCAACTGCTACAGAAAACATTTTTGTTGTGTAGTGGTAACACATCATCAGGCAGAATAAAGCAGTTTAAATGTAATTTAATGATTACCTTTAATTTCTTTGGTAAACTTTACCCTTTGGGAATCTGTCAGAGGTTTTTGTTGTTCTTCAATACTTTTGAAGTCCAAAACTTCACATACAAACTCAATAACTGGCTGTGCTTTGTAAAACGCGGTTGCAGACACTGTGAATAAAACATTAATGATGTCTTACAACAACAGTATCACAGAATCATCAAAGGTTGGAAAAGAACTTCAAGATCATCAAGTCCAACCATCCACCCAACACCCCTGTGACCACTAAACCATCTCCTGAAACACCACGTCCACCCATTTTTTAACACCTCCAGGGATGGTGCTCCCTGGGCAGCCTGTTCCAAGGCCTCACCACTCTTTCTGGGAAGACATTTTTCCTAAAATCCAGCCTGAACCTCCCCTGGTACAGCTTGACCCCATTTCCTCTTGTCCTCCCACTGGTCATCAGGGAGACAAGCCCAACACCCACCTCACCACAACCTCCTCTCAAGTAGTTGTAGAGAGCAATGAGGTCCCCCCTCAGCCTCCTCTTCTCCAGGCTGAACAGCCTCAGCCTCCTTATCAGACCTGATCTCCAGACCCCTAACCAGCCCAGTTGCCCTTCTCTGCACCAGCACCTCAATGTCCCTCCTATCCTGCAGTGCCCAAAACTGCACCCAGTGCTCAAGGTGCAGCCTCACCAAGGACACAATACAGAGAAAATGTTTAAGAAATCCTAGAATCATAACTATTTTTTTTGCCTTTTCACTGAAAGAAGGAACAAGAAATCATTTTTATAGGACCTACCATCAATATTTAACATCATTTTCCATAATGAAGGTCTGACTGATTGATGGAAGCCAAACCAAACTTCTCTGCCACCACCCAATGGATTTGAGCACCCTTCTGAGGCTGTAAAAAAAGATCTCCCCACAGGAGTATATCTGCAGTAAAGAAAATAAATTCAGTTCACAAAATTACAAGCAACAAAATTAGTATTTGCAATAAAGCCATAACTAATGCAAATGCCTATTCACAAAAGCACAGAAATGTCAGTGTTTCAAACCACCAGTAATCGGAAGGTTCTGTGAGGACTCAGGTTATACCTCTCAAAATCCAGCTGGTTACAGTAAGAAACTGCTACTACTCATGTTTGTTTCTATTTATTTTCAGTATCAAACAAAAAGCACTAATATTTTTTGTACTATATAAAAAATACAGCTGTTCTTCAGTAAGAAGATCATCAAACATCTCTGCTTTTAAAACAACAATGTAATATTCCCTCCCCACACTTTGCACAGTTTCCTCTGGAATCCATGAAAAATCTGAGTGGGTGAACAACAGATCTAACAAGTATTTTTGATACGTCTCTCATCCTGGTCAATTGGCACTGCACGTTTAATATCAAACTAATAAAACCAGTGTTAATATGTTTCTCTGAACAAAGATATGTGACTAACGAGTCTGGGCTGCCTTCTGTGTTGCAAAACCTGACTGAAGTGTTTGGTGTTTTTTTCCTTAATGTGAGGATAAAGCCGACGTAATATAAAGATATTTAAGGCTACTTACATAAATTTAACTCATATTCCCTTTTTAGCCCTTCAAAATTGGATGTTCAGCCTCCCTAAGCTTAGTTCTTTACTTTCCAATTGGACATACTTGAACAGTGGTCCTAAGTGACTTGCTTCAAGGCAGCCAAATTAAATCCAGTATCTCCTGGATTTGACCGCAAATGCTGTAGATCCCACTTGGTTGGGGAAAAAAACCCCAACATTTTCAAGTCTTTTCTGTAAAAATAGCTATACTGGGTAACATTTATGTCCTCCTAGCACAGTATCCTTTATACAAAATTGGCAATAAGCTTCTGCCCGAGGACGGACACACAGGACCAGGGGAACAAGGTTTAAAAACCACTCTTAGGTGTCTACCAACCTCCAACTACTTTTCATGCAGGGAGGGCTTCCTTCTCTGAGGCCTACAGAGAAACAGGGTACAAGCAACATGGCAAAGCACCCCTGACCTGAGAGCACACAAACATGGAGCAAGTCTGAACACCAGTGGGAAAGGGACTTGTGTCCAGGCTGGAGGCTACTAATTCCATCAGATGAACAGAAGGGCACCATATTGCTTCTTGCCTGAGCATGCCATCTGCTAGACAGCCATTATTTGGTTGAGCTATGAAAGCACATCCTACCCAAAAAGCCACTGAAGCAATTCAAATAACAATGCAACCTCCTAAACAAGGTCTTCCCCTCACCTCATGGAAGGCAAGTGTCTCATCACTACATCCAGTGCCTGGATGGTTTCAAACGGGACACTTGGCAGCCGACCAGAAAGAGCATCATGTAAAGCCTGCAAACTCACACAGGACATCCACTTTATAGCCACCTTAAATATTCTGTCCTTTCCTTCTCCTGGCAGCGTGACCTCCAGCTCCACCTGCAACAATGCCAAACAACAAACCAAGATGATTCTTTCCATTTAAAGGGGGAAATGGAAGGGGCTCTTGGAGGGGACGATGGATTCCTCTGAACAGCGCTACAAAGCATGGGAGGAGACAAAAAGCAGTAATGAAGAAAAAACATACATTAGGCACAGCCTCTTTTTACAGCTAGATCTTTCCAAAGGTGCACTTCAAAGAGCTGGCGTGCTTCCCAGCTGGCATCTATCTCCCTCTTTGAGGCAACACGGCAATTTGGAAGTGTTTGTGTATCAACAGGGAGGTCTCCATGAAGATCCCACAACCTGATTCCAGGTACCTAAACCAACACATCACCACTCATGTCAGCTCCTGCATGCCTAAAATAAAACATGGTCTGTCACTACCTGCCAAGATTCAGGAATTTCAAGCACTCACTCTCTAGAGCACCAAAGGGCTTTGTATACTGCAACTGTAGATATATTTCAAATAAGAGAAAATAAAATCCACAAGAAGCTTTCAAAGCGGAAAACAAACAAACAAACAACAAAAACACAACAACAAACACCACCCTCCCAATTCAGCAATCCCCCACAAAACCCATCAGCCCAATGCACTCTTATTTTCAAATGCCAAAGAATAAACAACGAATCCCAGGTACCAGTGATGCTATCACGTAGGAAACAGGGGCACTCCTTCAACATGTTATGTCCTACTCTGCATTTTTTGCCTAAAAAAACACTGGCAAACTACATTATGAGCTCCTGGAGAGGGTCCAGAGGAGGCCATGAAGATGATCAAAGGGCTGGAACCAGCTCTGCTCTGGAGACAGGCTGAGAGAGTTGGGGCTGTTCAGCCTGGAGAAGAGAAGGCTCCAGGGAGACCTTAGAGCACCTTCCAGTGCCTGAAGGGGCTCCAGGAAAGCTGGGGAGGGGCTTTTAACAAGGGCTTGTAGTGACAGGACAATGGGAAATGGATTAAAACTGGAAGAGATTTAGGTTAGAGATTAGGAAGAAATTATTTCATGTGAGGGTGTTGAGACACTGGCCCAGGTTGCCCAGGGAAGCTGTGGCTGCCCCATCCCTGGCAGTGCTGAAGGGCAGGTTGGATGGGGCTTGGAGCAACCTGGTCTAGTGGGAGGTGTCCCTGCCCATGCAGGGGGGTTGGATATAGATGATCTTTAAGGTCTCTTCCAACCCAAACCATTCTAGGATTCTACGACTATGGTAAATTACTTCTGTTGACTACTTATCATTACTTACAATGCTGATTTCTCCTCTATTAAAACAAAGGAAGTCTGAGCACAGAGGTTCTTAAACTAAAATTAAGGCTTGTCTGAAACGATTAGCTGTTCTGGGAGCAACTACAAGAAATAACAAGATCAGAGTTTCCTTTCTGCTGGATATAAACAAAAACATTGCATTTTCCTGTCCTAAGGAGTTAACAATTAAAATATAAAAGGCATCCACTTAACAGACAAACTGTAATTAGTGGGCTAGCAAAAGAATACACGGGTAAGGGCAAGTTAATGTATGCAATCATCTGCTCTTCTGTGACAAGTTAGCTCCTTCAGTCCAAAATAGGAAGGAGAGATAAACCCATAAATTATACATCCTCCTGTACCCCCCAAAAAACCCAAGTTGACGATTTTTTAGTAGGCAGCCAGAAGTGACATTAGAGCCACATTTCTCCTCTAGCACAAACATTGTTCATCAGAAGAGTTAAGAAGAGAGGAAGGAGCCATTTGGCCATGGGAGAACAGTGGGAACTGGAGTCTCTAGCTGTGGGGTTGTTAGTCTGAATCTGGCCAGGAGGTTAGTTCTGCTGCAAAGCTGTGCAAATAAACGTCCAGCTTTTCAGCTGACACAGGTTGGAGCTGCCCATGAAGCCTTTTTTTCCACAATGCCATTAGAAGGTCCTCATCTTACACCTCATTTACTATGGATGGAAGATGTCTCTCACACCTGAACTGTATTTTCCTTTCAACTTCTCCTCCAAATGAAATTTTGTAATTTCTGTTTTTCCCAATATTGTTAATATACAACTCAGCTGATAATTAACAACTTCGGTACCCTTAATCTAAAATAATATTTCCCTTTCTTTCCCCCCCCTCCCATTGATTTCAATTTTCTAAGCTCCTTCACCTGTGTTGCAGTATCTGTGTCCCTGGTAGAAATAAAAGGCCCAGAGTTGAAGAATTTTTAATCCAATTGTTCGACTGCAAATACATACGAAATTCATTATGGCTGTGACAGTGAATTCACATCAGTGAATCTGACCCCAACAGCTTCTGATGCTGGGTCTGACCCCACTTCCAAACAGCTGAATTAGAGTCACTGTTCAAATAAGTAAAGTTTAAATCCAACATTCTAGGTTTTCCTCCTTTAATATCCCACCTGAATTAGATTCTACTGAAGAATCATATAAGTATTCAGGTTGGAAAAGACTCTTGGGATCACCAAGTCCAACCATCA